GAACAGGAAATTATGCAAACAGGGTGAAGTGACTTGTCCAGGTTCACACAGCTAGTAAGTATCTGAAGCTGGTGCTATTGTTATCCACATTTTACAGATAAGGAAACTGAGGCAAACCAATTAAGTGACTTGCCCAATGTCACCCAGCTAGTAAGTATCTGAAGATCGATATGATCTCATGCCTTACTGACTCCAGGTCCAGCAATCTATCCACTGCACCCCCTAACTGCCCTTTAGTGCCAGTAGGCTTGCTTATTAAGGGCCACTGGGAGTGTGGCATGGTCAGTCTTCAGCCAGTCAATAGCAAGTTACTCTTCTCATTCCATCAGGAAGACCTTCTTCATACTTTTTAAAAGGGAAACCAGCATAGACATATTAATAGCTCATTTCTGTTACCAGTCTCCTTCTGTGATTTTACTAACTGGGCTGAAGGGAGAAATCAATTGCTTGGGGGACCAATTCCTTCCCGCTACACTATTACTTCCATTACTGCTACTATTAATACTGTTCTCTTGTTCTTCTTATCTTTTTTGATGAAGTTCAGATAGAAAGCATCCAGAGGCAAGTCACCATCTTGCTATTATTCTTTTATATCTAATGTTCTGCAAAACCATAAAATGACTGTTTCTTTTTTAAAATTTTTTTTCAATTACATATAAAACAATTTTAACACTTTTTTTAAATTTTGAGTTCCAAATTCTCTCTCTCCCTCCCCACACCTCTTCTTAAGAAGGCAAGCAATTTGATATAGGTTATACATGTGTAGTCATGCAAAACATATTTCCACATTCATCATGTAAAAAAAAACAAAACACAGACCAAAAAAAAAAAAAAACCAAGAAAAATAAGATCTGCATTCAAACTCCATCATTTCTTTCCCTGGATTTGGATAGCATTTTTCATTATAAGTCCTTTGAAATTGTCTTGGATCATTGTATTGCTGTGAATAGTTGAGTCTTTCATAGTCAATCATCATACAATATTCTGTTACTGTGTATAATGTTCTCCTAGTTCTGCCCACTTCACTTTGTATCAGTTCATGTAAGTCTTGCCAGGTTTTTCTGAAAGCATTCTGTTTGTCATTTCTTATAATAGTATTCCATCAACATCATATAGCACAACTTGTTCCGACATTCCCCAATTGATGGGCATCCCTCAATTTCCAATTCTTTGCCACCTCAAAAAGAGCTGCTATAAATATTTTTGTACATATGGGTCCTTTCCTTTTTTAAAAATATTTTTGGGATACAGACCTAGTAATGGTATTGCTGAGTCAAAGGGCTGTTCATTCTTCATACTCAAAGAGGACCAAAATGACGTTACTCTGTCAGGATCAATGTTTGATGTGTTCAGCTATGGCCGATCAGTCCAATAAAAGCTCAGAAGGCTCTACTACAGGTCAGGCATAAATAGTCCATTTGAACATTTGGGATGGAGATGTCTCTAGATTTGTACATCTTGTGTTTCCTTTGTTCTACTATGATTCTGCTTTGCTCATAGAGCACAGCACTTTCTTTTGATTTGGATACACCACGGTGAATGATACTGTGCCAGCGTCTCCTAGGTCTTACAATCAATACCAAAGTTCTTCAGAGAGACCTTGAGAGTGTCCTTGTATCACTTTTTATGACCTCCATGTGAGTGTTTGCGTTGTGAGAGTTCTCTTTAAAATAGTCTTCTAAGTAAATGTACATTTGGCATTCAAACAATGTGACCAGCCTATAGGAGTTGCACTCTCTGCAGTAGAGTTTGAATGCTTGGCAGTTCAGCTTGAGAAAGGACCTCAGTGTCCAGTACTTTGTCTTGCCAGATAATCTTCAAAAACTTCCTAAAATAATTTAAATGCAAGTGGTTCAATCTTCTGATATGGCACTGGTAGACTATCCAGGTTTCACAAGCATACAAAAATGAGATCCACACAAGGGCTCTGTAGACCTTCATTTTGGCAGGCAGCCTAATACCTCTTCTCTCCCACACTTTCTTTTGGAGCCTCCCAGACAGTGAGGTAACTCTGGCAATGCATGTGTCAATCTCATTATCTATGTGGACATCTCTGGAAAGTATACTGCCAAGGTCAGCTGAAGATTATGCATGGTTTTATAGCCTTTTGAGCATAGTCCCAAATTGTTCTTCAGAATGGTTGGACAAGTTCACAACTCCAACAGTGCTTTAGTGTCCCAAGTTTCTCACGTCTTCTCCAGCATTTGTCATTTTCCTTTTCTATCTTATTATCAAATCTAACAGGTGTGAGGTGATACCTCAGAATTGTTTTAATTTGCATTTCTCTAATCAATAGTGATTTAGAGCATTTT